AATAATGAAGATTTTGAGAACTAAGCAATTTTTCAGAAAAAATAATTTAAAAACCAATGCATTTTAGAAATATATATATATTGTGATCTAAATATTATTAGAATTATTATACATATATATATATATATATATATATATATATATGTATAATATATGTATAATATAATATATGTATAAATATATATATAATAATATTTTGAAAATATTTAGATCTGATCATATCTGTCTACTTGTAAATATATAATTATTAATTTTCTGTTTATGATTATAAGAAAATGTAAATCTATTGCAAATTGAAAATAAGAAATGTTAATTCTTAAGACTACAACGAGAAAACTATTATTGTAATAAACCTAAAAGAAGTTTAAAACTTAATGTGCATCAAAAACGTACATTTTAAAGTAAAATGAAAAGCAAAGAAAAAGAATAGTACATACAGAGCAAATAAAGTACTTACGTAAAAGAGTAAATTATTGTTGATTTCTCGGAAGAGGACTGATTTATCAAGGGGAATAAGTCCTCTCCGAAAAATTTGCAGTAATTTAGGTATGATGGCCTTTCGTCACTTCGTACGTTTGAATGAATTTTTTAAAGGCAAAAACTAATAAATAAAATATTTATTTAAATTAATAATTTTCAAACATATGTACATGTAACATTAAAAAATGTAAATTTCAATAAAACATGTGTAAATCTCAAAATTATAATTTAAACTATCAATAGACCTTAATTCTCCCTCTCTATTCTAAAAATAATAACTTTTCTGGACTGTGTGATTTCTAAATCAGGCTATGTCACATGGCTTGCATAACGCTCTTGACGTAGCTAATTCGAAACCTGAATTCAAAATTTTGAAACCCGAAACCTTTCACTTAATAAGCAACCTAACCCAAAACCTTCCTTTGGTAAGCCTCTAAATTGGATAACTGCGCACTTTAGCTTCTTCCTCTCTGCCGTCAGGTCGCTACTTCGTTCGCTTAACCTATCCTAGCTATTTTCCATTGCTCTTAAAATATAATCTGTATAAATCTTTGAGGTACATAGGGCACCCACAATGATGATGTGAAATGAAGAAGAATATGTGTCCTCAGAATTCATTATACAGGAGTAAAATTAAGTGCAGAACTTATAGCTATGTCTGTTTTCGAGTGCCATCTTTCTAACTATGCAGTAAAGCTTCTCCGAGTCATTATAACGCTGAGAACCATCGCCAATCCGTTGCAGCTTTCTCCAAGTTATCCTATTACATACGTGTATATCGCACAGTCATCGAGATAATTAATTATTATTATCGTATACATGTATGTATTTTGCTGTACATATACATGTACATGTATTTTGTTGGACAGTTTGAATGATACATGACGAAGGAGAGACCAGTAGACAGACATGGGCGAACTGATCGCACTTTTCATTCCTGGACAACAAATTAATTATCCAACATATTCTTCTTCACACATCATCGTGTACGTAATAAACACACCACAATTTCATGTAGCATTTCACATTTTAGATAACGGCGTAGTTAGTAGTAAACAAACCAAAGAGAGCGGTAAACCAACGAGCAGCCAGGAAGAAGGGTCGACACAAAAGAGAAGCGAGATTGCGCAGCAAAGTTCTTTTATACCAGATTACATCCTGGGTCACATAGCAGATAAATATTCGGATACTAGGTTACGATTTCATCAATTAAGTGTGCAATAAAGATTAGATGGCGGATCTTTTTCAGAATTGCAAAGTAAACGATTATGTTAGAAATATTATTGCTTTGTTATTTTTAGAATAACGAGAGGAGTTAAAGGGCTATTGTTAATTAATAATTAGAAAGGTAGATGGCTTATACTTTTGACAGTGTAAGTCGATTTCACTGTTTAGGTTCCTACACTTTATTAGTATTCGAGAAATAAATCTGTGATGATTTTTTTAAAAGGAGTTATTTAATCAATTATTCTCATGAAGCTACAGGATAAATTAGTTCTCTTCTTTTAGTACAGTAATTATGAGTTTTAAATAAACGTTTATTGTACAGATATTTTTTCCTTTCTTTTCGGAATCATTTTCATATTTTAAATCGAATACCCAACTGATAAATAAATTTTTAACGATGAATAACCACACGTCAAACAGTCGAAAAAGATGCAGCATTCTGTGTACCATTTTCTGTGACGTAGCAAGATCTTGTCACCTAGCTATGAAGTTCAGCTTATTCCTTTTGTACTTCATAAATCTCTTGCTGGAATTGCATAAGATACTCTTTCATATCTTCCCTTTACAAGTTTATTAATCTTCTAAAGTTAAGGAACACGAGATGCTCTACACACCTTTTTCTTGATCAAACCTATTAAGCAATGACTTGTTACAGCGGGTTTCAGTTATTTTAAAATTAACACGGAAATATGAAGGTATATGTATTACTGTTATGGCTGGATCATCACATTTTAAGATAACATACATTTTTAAAGCTGTGTTTTATAAAACCAACCGTGAAACAACAGCGTGCTTGCATATATGTACATTCCCATCGCAACGATATTAAGTAAAAAAAATGTATTTATATATTCGAATTAATATGTCGTATTACACAGATAGGGAGAAAATCAGAAAACATCATTTCTGCTTATGTTCGTAGCTGGAAAAATCTTTCCTGTTCGCTGTTATCTCTACATCTAATGAAAGAAAGAGTCTGCCTGTGTGTGGTGTCTTTCGTTCATGCTGCGCGTAAGCTAATAGACCCACGGCTACGAAATTTGGTACATAGGTGCATCTAGACAAGAGCCAGTGCACCGCAAAGCGAATTTTTCAATATTCGAATCAGATTTTTTTAATTTTATCTTTTTTGATGAAATCGCATGATTTTGAAGAGTTTCATTGTTTTAGAAATGTGGTTTTGGCAACAGTTTTTCATTCAATACTTTGTATACTGGACTGCTGACTATTGAAAATATGAGATAAAATGCTGCGTATTTTCTTTTGATTTTTGAAAACGCAACACGCACATCGCAATCTTCTTATTCTGAAGCGCATGTAGAAAGAATTCCATTTTTTCCTCTCACTCTTTATGAGCTAATGGCAAAGAGTATTTCTTTCTGATGATAGTTTCATTGTTTTAGAAATGTGGTTTCGGCAACAGTTTTTCATTCTTTGCTTTGGATACTGGACTGCTGACTGTTTCTCTTGAAAATATGAGATTTATTGCTTATTTCATTGTAATTTTTTATATTATGTTTAAATTATATATAATTTTAATTATATAAAAAGTTTTGTATGATTTTTTTAGGAAACAAAGTTTTTAACTTCCTTTATACCATTTGAATTCCTAAGATTTGGCAACGGGAAGTTGGTTAATTTATTTATTAGGCTATTAAATATTTGTATTAAGAGATATTGTTTATTTCATAGTAAATTTTTTATATGTGATACATTTTTATTGAGTTTTTTTTATAAAGTTATACTGCAGTTAAAATTCTGTGCAGGTTTTAAATTTAATGTTTGGCAGGCATTTTTACGGTACATTTAAAGTCCAGACGAAGGCTGGCCACGTAGCGATTAGTTTAAGTATAATATTATCTTAAATGTCGATATCAATACGTTCCGTATTGTTATTGCATTTTAGAAACGATGCATAGGCAGTTCTCTATTCAGTTTTTCAATTTAATTCCCAATACAAAGATTCATGAATTTACTTTCCTATTTTCAAATGAAAAGATACAGATTATTTAAATATTTAAAATTTGTTACAAGCATTAACCACTGAAAGAAACACTCTTCTAAATAGCATTAAAAGTTAATTTTTCCCATATATCAAGACTCTCTTAGACTCAAGAATCTCTTAGACTTATCTCTTAGACTAATTCTTAAACTTTTGAATGATTTGTAATGTAATACATGTAATATAAATGGTTCAGATTTTCCAAAATAAATCAATGTACAAAAGTGTTCATATATATACAGGAACTACATTCAGACCTATAATTGTCATATGAAACTACGAGTAATACTGAATGTTATATTATACTGAGATATTTCATATATCATACTTGAATATAATATAGTTAGTTAGTTTTGGGTATTTTACTAAATAATAATAAGATAAATTATGAAAATTTTATGTTACTAAATACGTTATCTAAAATACTATAAAAAACACTGATATTAAATAGCGTACTCTATACATTTAAACTGGGCCTCCTCTAAGATTAAAGATTTTAACATCTCAGAGATAAAACAACGGGAGTTTTTCATATACATACTGTACAGTACCAAGTATAATTTCTAAGCTGTACATAATAATAAAGTCATTCTCGACAAACAAAGTTAACAGTAAAATAATTCCACAAAACACCATGCGAATTTATTTCGACGACACAAACTGATGTGGGAAGATACGTTGGGAAATATTTGGCTCCTGCGTTTTATTATGTTATTAACATAGCTAATTTTTATACAGTTTGTTTTCTTCAATTTCAAAATTTTTGGACCATGGGAAAACCATGTATACGGAATAAGTAAATAATAGTGCGCCATAGCTTTGCATGGAGAAATAAGCAGGTTATTTTTAAAGACAATGTTCATCTAAGCGCTCAGTGATACAAATCAATATCAGTTGATAACTATGATAATGTAAATAATTTTGTTGTTATTTAAAAAATAATATGTATTGACTAATCACTGCAATCTTGAAAACGAAAAAATGCCATATACGCAATTAAAACAATACTTGAAAGAAAAATCAGTGAACATTTCGTATAAAGGAGATCCCGAGGCTAAATAAATTTGCATTTTAAATGTATATAAATATATTTAACTATTCAGGATATCTATTCAGGAAATTTTTGGCAAGAAGAAACAGAAATTTTAATATGACACATTTATTTCTGATTTTAAATGAAAACTTTCGAAAACAGCTTGAAATTATATTATTTTCTAGTGTTAAATATTATGTAGATTAAAATGTTAGTTCAATAATATAATTTTTTCCCTTAAATTTTGCTTCCTTGAAGGGGGCTGGATGGCTTACCTCACCGTAGAACCAGGTACCGTAAATTCGTTCTCATATTTATTATTCTCAATTTTATTTCCCTTTAATGAAACTTACTTTTAATTTGGGAAACATGGTTAATTTATTTAAGGAGACAAGTTTTGGAACCATTGGGAGCTCACCAGCGGCCGAGCGGTAAAGTCGCTGAATACTGGTAGTTCGGTCCGAGGTTCGAATCCCGCGAACGGGCTGGCTGCATGGGTGTTTTCGTGGTTTTCCCCATGTGTAACGTGTATACGACCCAGTTTTCCTTAGAAAGTCCTCCACGAAGGCATCCCTTCCCTTAAGCAGATAGCCCTCGAGACTTTGCCGTAATTAAATAACCTAACCTTGTAGAGTCATTAGGTTAATTGGAAGCAGAAAAGATGAAAAATATGCAACCGCCTTCGCCGGGAATCGAACCACGGACCTCTGGAATACCGGCCCAGCGTGCTACCGTTACACCATAAAGGCACGCTAGGGAAGTGGGAGAAATACCTTATAACCTAACCTAACGTTTGGAACGATTGGTAGTTGCTTAATTTTAAATTTCTGCAGGAAATAAAATCTTCAACCTTATGTATTCATGTTATAGCTATTTTTTAAAGTTTTAAATAAAACTGGGATTTCAAACAGAACTTTTACTAAATACCTCAAAAATATGCTGAGAAAACTTTTTACTTACGTATATTCGTGTCCAAAATTGATAGAATTTGAAAAAAAAAAAAAAAGTACCTATTCTTACGAAGTGTATAACTAAAAATACTAATTCAGCTGCCGAAGAATTATGAAATATTCTGTGCCAAGCACATAAGCATACACGTGCGTGTCTGTGGAGTTGTGGTCGTAGAAAGGATATACACGCACGAGGAGTTTCGGCGGTTTATGTGCTCCTACTCTTTCACGATATCGGCCGTGTTTCTCGCAAGCGTTTGGTAAATTTTATAAATTGTCAGATAAAATGAGAAGTCACAAACATATGGATGACAGAATGAGGTAAAAAATTGTCCGTGGATTGGACACAGACCAATCACAAGCGCAAGTGGCTAAAGAGCTCAATGTAACGTCCAGTTTCGTCTGCAATTTGTGGATACTGTTTCAGGATACTGGATCCATATGGAGAAAATCTAGACAAGGTCGACCAAGGTCATAACGATGAATGAGGATCGTTATTTGGCACTTTCAGCGCAATGGGAAAGGATTGATACAGCTTAGCAACTCTTACGTGAGGTGTATGCTGTCACTAGAACTCGAGTTTCACGATTTACAGTTACCGAAGGCTTTATGAGGATGCTGCATACCAGATGGCCTACTGTTTGCGTCCCGCTTACACCAGTACACAAGAAAGCGCGTTTAGCTCCGTGCAGAGAATATGCTGTGATTTTAATGGAGTACGATGCTTTTTTACAGATGAGTCGAGATTCATTCTGGATACTAATTCTCGGCTTAACTGTATTTGGAGAGAGCCTGGAAAACTATACTATCCCTCTCTCATCAGGGAAAAGGATCACAACGACGGTGGAGATGAGATGTAATGGTTTGGTTAGGCAATTATGTCGGAAGGCCCCGCTCAGCTGATATGTTTGAAAAAGACTCCTTGGGTGCTATGAGGTACACAGAGAAGATCTTGAGTCCTATTTTCGACTATTTAGAAACACAGTTGGTTCTGAGCTTCTGTTAATGGACGACAATTTGAAGAGCAATTTCATCTCCCATCTCGCTTGGAAAACCACCTAGAAATTGGAAACTGCCTTGCTGCATGACTGGAATCGACTGCCACAGGGACTTCTGAACTGCCTCCTGTCCAGTACGGCGTCACCCTGCGCGACCAGCCTGTGAAAGGGGATCATACCTCATATTTGAAAAATTTTCACTTCGACGTCATAACGAGGATTTTGGACATCCCTGCACTATCAGCGTTACTAATATCATTGGTACATAAAGTGTCTTTCTAGCTGTACATCTCTTTCTATGTTATAATATGTATATTAATACCACATTTCATTACAATCTGTTCATTAGTTTTTCAGAAATTAGTTAAAGAGTGTAGATTCTCTTAATTTTGTACACAAGTGTTTTTTGTTTAGCCTATTAAATTCCATAGTTATATACTAACACAATTTAGAAATTTTATATTATGCAATAGAAAATATGTTCAATCGAATTTAATTTCTATATTAAACCTGCACTCCCATCTATATTATGCATATAGATAAGAAGAATGCAAAACAACAAATTTTGAAAAAGATTAAATTTTTCAAAAACTTGATAATTATACGCATCATTGTTTCTAAATGTTGTTTGAATTTAACGTAAATTAAAACTTTTATTCACATTGTAGAGTTCCTCACTTTGTAAATGCTAAGTTATAGTTGAACGTGTAGAATCTTAAGAACTGCTAAGCGAATAATCGCTTGAGTTCGTGTGACAAGAAACAAAAAGATAGAAGGGTAAATAACCCTTTATTATTCAAATAATATTTAACAGAACTCCGTCTTGGAATGTACAGTAAACGCCGACACTTGGGCTTGAACTTAGGCTAAGAAGTAAACTAAACCTAATCTAAACTAAAAGAGACACAGCCGAAGCTATCAAAGTTTTAATGGAGTTGGCCCCTTAACGTTAATAGACTGCAAAGCTATCAAGGGCCTAAAGTACGGCTGAGTGTAATAATAGCTTACGAGAGAGTAGCCTAAAAAGGCAGACGCGTGCAGACAGAATACTTGGTATCTCTCTCACTAAGACCGAAGAACTTCGCGGTTAAATACCGCTCTTGCTCATTATATATTCAGACGTGATTCTAAAATTACGTTCTGGACGGAAGTGTAAGTTGAAGTTAAGAATCGATAGGAAAGGAACTTTGACTCAAAATTTAACTGTTGATAAAATTAACATAATTCTTACAGTATCATATAAATATAAACATTTTTCTGTGCTGTAGACTTAAAGATTCTAAAGTTAAAAGTAAATTGGAGTCAATTGCCTGGTAATTTCCTTTTCTTCTTTTACTATGTAAATAGAATTTTATTTAAAGCTCCAATGAATGATATTTAATCATATTTTTCTGAGAACCTCAAAATTAGCAAAGAAACAGCCTTACAGGTCTTGGAAATTTCTTTGCTTCTGATGAAGAGGGGCCTGTTTTCCCTTGAAATCGATTGCGTTTTTCGTCTAAATCTAAGCCAAATACAAGACTATCTTTTTGCTAATTTTGAGTTTTGCTTTGGCGTGTTTTTTTTTTTTTTTTTTTTTTTTTTTTTTTTTTTTTTTTTCTGATTGGAATTTTTTCTGAGAGTACTTAATACTAGGCTATAATTATTCCCTTGATTAAGTTCAATGTAATAAAGACATAGCTAATTTGACTTTATTGCAGCCAATTTAACATGGGATGAAACTTATATAACAATATAAATTAAAATCTATATAATGGATATAAAACAAGAATAATGAGTGTTTAATGCAAATGAAATTAATTTTTAATGTAAATAAAATTTTAATAGAATACATGAATGTGAATAACTTTGTATTATCAGATTCTCAACTGAAAGATTACTCTGTGTTATTGAAGACTACTTACTATTCCCTGAGAAGATTCTCAGCTATTGGTCGTATGGGTTAAATAGAATGAAAAAGTGGATTTTCTGATCAGAAATGATATGAAAGAAATTATAATTGAGTTCTCTGATAACTATCATTGCCATTCTTTTAGAAATACTCAATTGTTACTTTTGTTAGTGCGATTGCAAGGTTCTGATGCTTTATTTTAAAAAAGCAATAATTTCAGTTTTTTGGAAGTCTAATTTTAAATACATAAAATTTTATTTATAATTTTTATGTATATTTTCAAAGATAAATTATAACAAAAAGTGCATGATCTAATCATAATTAAAAACAAAAAAAAATATATTTATTATTGTTTATTTACGTTAAATATGTAAGTCTAATTTGACAACTTTTTTAACTGTTTGGAAAAGTACCCTTCAAAAATGGATCAAGTATTCTTTAAGGTGTATATATATGATCCTATCTTCAAACGATTCAAATTTAATTAATGGAAATACATTTATTTACTATTACTAAAAGTATGTCCCAATCGGAAGGAGAGAACAACAAAATTCAATAGTTTTTAAAGCAAAAAATGCACAATTTGCCAAAATATAAGAATAAACAAACATGAGCTGAGGAAGCCGAGTATCAGAGTGGGTATATAATCTTCTCATTTCCTTAATTTTGCAGCACAATGCGCAAAATATTTTGACCAAAAATTGGTCTTTTTTTTATTGTTCTTACAACCTTTCTTATAATAATATATATATATTTATATACTTTTGCTGCTGCCGATTGCAACCAAAAAGCAGGTGCTCAATTACATATCATAGCAGTCCTATATAGAAAGTTTCAATGTCCTGAGGCTTCTCGTTTTTGAGTCCTGCGAGACACATACATACACACGTACATACAGACGTCACGAAAAAATCTTTTCCGAATCCATTTTAAATCAATTTTATAATCCGTTTGGGGAAAAAGGGGTCTTTTATTCTGCCCTTATGTACAGATATCACGCAGAAACATCTTTAAATTGCATTCGAGAGCGGTCAAAATGTATATTTTTGTTGATATATGATACCCGGAATTTTTGGTGATTGCAAAAAATCCTTTACTTCGAATAAAGAAGTAAAAAACTTATTACATTAGCAGTATTAGGAAAAGGTGTAAAATAAACTGGGTGAACTAAACATAATGAATACTGAAGCATTTCCCCCACGAATTAGCCCCACGAGTGGTCTAGACCGTTGAATGCTGGTAGTTCGACGTGTTGCGAGTTCAAACCCAGACATACAGGCTGTTGCCTGATACTTTGATAGTTTGTTGGTTATTCTGGCATGCAGCGGGAGATGCATTACTACTTGTTTTTCCAGATTCCTAAATGAGTCCCCTTAAGGTCCTGACGCATGTAAAAATCCAAAGAGGAAGCTTCTCTATTTGAGATAGCCTTGCAAAAGAAAAAGAGGCGTG